ACTTTTCTCTAAAGATTTCAAATTCATAAAAATACTCAAAACGGCAGGCCCATAGCGAAACGTTCAGGGCCTCATTTGTTTGGTTTGGTATCATATGTCGATGCATGCCATGCATGCTGTGTTTGAATCCCTGTGTTCAACTTTTGTCCGACTTTTTTCTATTGTTCTATTGTCTCTAATGACGTGCACTGCACTTCAGGTTCAAGGGCTTCATTCCACCAGCCATGATCAAGTTCTAATGAATGGCTGCAAAGAGTCAAAAATTAAACTTTGCTTTGGAAATTTGTGGGCTCGGGCCTTTTGCCACTGCGGGCAATGATATCATATTTGACTACAGTTTCTATACTTTTGTACCCTAAGTGAATATGAGGGGGAGAGCTGCAAATTGCGTTTGGCATTAAAGCTGAAGCCAAAGTTCCAAGTTCTGATCAAAGTGTAGCAAAAAATTACTATATCAATCAAGGCTCTTTAGTTTATGGAAGACTTTCATTTCATTATGGCTTATTAGCAGGGGGTACGGAGTTTGTGCATAGCAACACCCTTGGTTACCAAGCCTTACGTTTTAGCACCCCTCAGAATAATTTCTAGATCCGCCCCTGATAATACATGATGATATTGTGATGACGTCATCAACCGTTAAAAGGCAACTTCTCAGACACGAAGCGTTTGACAACGCTCTAAGTTGCACGTTTGTATACTTACTTAAAGTGATCTAGCTGGTGAGGGCAGTTTCTGTGTCAAAAAATGTTTTTTAAATAATTTGACTGTATCGATGACGTCATAAAACCTAGAAATTATTGACCCCCGTATCTCACGAGATGCATGTTTGTCAAAGTGACAACAACTGATTTTATATTAAGTAACACATTATAAACAAGAAAAAACAGTCGTGAAGTTGTGCCCGGATGCGGGCAACGAAAATTGATTTTGGAGCACCTTTTTTGGTCACAGCTTACGGCCTTTAGTGTCATTTACTAATTTCGGTGCAATTTCCTTCATTGAATGCAACTATCTTTGCCTTGAATTATCATTAATGACGAATAATTTATCAAGTGAAGAATTGTGTTTGTTTTAATTTAGTAATTTGCCACCAAAAGAGAATTGAAAACCAGGGTGGATTCCATGTACACTCACAGCTGTAATGCAGTATTATTTATATGGAAGTGAATTCTTCCGAATTTTGCAGAACAATAGACCAATAAACTGCATTTGAAATTATTTGATATTTTTGCAAATAATTTCTAGGGAAAATTTTATTCGCAAATTTTGAGGTAATATCATATTCAAATAGAGCAATCTTTAAGCTACTTATCTGTCTAAAATTAATCCCAATATTTGTTCCAATTAATCCAGGAGAAAATTTAGTTTAATTCCAACTTTTGTTGTGAATTTTTGATGAAAACTGCAATTTAGGCCACAAGTGGAGCTGACATTTTTCTCTGGCGCTCCTAAACAAATATATATGATTATACCAATCTTTCTGCATTAACTATGTTGTTTGGTAATGAGGCTACACCAAAACCACTGGCCATAGACAGGCAACTTCTAGGAAGTTACTGAATATCACATTTTAAAACTTTGTAGAGTAAGCATGTGATGAAGATCTGAGACTATTCGGCTTATTGTATTTTGCGAAAATTTTCGCATAATGCGAAAATGCGAAATTTCGCAAAATACAAGTTTCGAGGTGGTATTTTGTAAAATGCGAAAACTGATTCTAAAAACTTTATTTGCCCATATCAACGACCGAAAACAAGCAATTCATATTCAGGGCGACTCTGTTCATGCAAATAGCCTAGTTCATGTCCCATTTAACGTTAGATAACTCATGGACACATTTTGGAAAATGGTTCAAAAACCAACCACATCAAGGCCATGAACGGCCTAATTGTGAATTGCCCATTCCAGCGAAAGACGATAACAGTAAGCATCCCGGTGCTTGCTAATTGGTAATTGGTAAATACCCAACGTTCTGCGTGTTCTGTGTTGTTTTAGGAGTAATTTACGCCTTTATCCACAAGGCCTATTTTCCTGCTTCCTTCCCGGTGAAACCCGCGTGGCTGGAAAAGGACGGGGGTGATGTCAAAAGATTTTCGCAAAATACAAAATGGCTGGGGGTTTTTGTATTTTGCGAAAACTCGCCAAACATTGTCGAAATGTTAGTTTTTATTTGAGAAAATGTACGGAAAGGCTTTGGATTGTATTTAAAATTTTGTTTTTTTGAGTAGGCATCAAAAGATTCAATCCAATTAAAGAATTTTCGCAAAATACAAAATGGCTAGGGGCTTTTGTATTTTGCGAAAACTCGCCAAACATTGTCGAAATGCTTTTCCAAAATGTGTCCATGAGTTATCTAACGTTAAATGGGACATGAACTAGGCTATTTGCATGAACAGAGTCGCCCTGAATATGAATTGCTTGTTTTCGGTCGTTGATATGGGCAAATAAAGTTTTTAGAATCAGTTTTCGCATTTTACAAAATACCACCTCGAAACTTGTATTTTGCGAAATTTCGCATTTTCGCATTATGCGAAAATTTTCGCAAAATACAATAAGCCAGACTATTCCCCATGGCCATCTTCAGGTTTTGTAGAAACTATTCAAAAGTTCATTTCAGCAGTTTTATCTTCATAAGCCCTGTCTGACAGGAGAGCCAATGATTTTTCCACCATTGACTACTGCAGGCATCTCCATTCTCTGACCACGTTTTCCAGCCGATCAGCCCTGTTTACCTGACAATTTATGTACTGCTTTGGAAACAAAACGTAGGCTAATGTATGATAATTACAGCACAAAATAGGACTTTACCGAGATAAAAATACACTGCGATGTCTTGACTATGCTATTTCGCTGTACTTTGTTTCTAGAAACTATGATAAGAGACCTTTTGAAGCTAATTTCGGACACCTGACTCATACCAGATTCTGTTGTCTTGCCATTCTGAGAATTGCAAACTCAACTTCAGAAATTTATTACAGTGCAAAAGAAATATTCTTAATCATTAATACTGAACTTTACAATTCAGAGTTTATTGAGTTACTCAGGGGTGTATTTGCTTTTGCAATATCTTTTAGAGTTTTAAAAAAAATGCAATTAATTAGAGGGAGGTATGACTGCAGCCTAAGTAGAATTGAATTCTGCGGTGTGACAGCTGTGACTAGGGTATCAAAAGTATTGCACCAGCTTGCACAAAATAACATCACTTTTCGTTAACCTTTTGACAATTTAAAACATTTGAATGTAAATATTGGGTGAAATAGGCGTATTTTATAGCAAATTTTGGCAGAAAAAGTTTGAAAATTTTGCTGATGCCATAGAAAACTTAGTTAGAAAGGTATGGGGAAAGTTATTCAAATGAGAGGCGAGCCAAGAACTGGACAACCAAAAAATAATTTCAGTTGGAGGGGAGGAAAATGGTCTTTTTCACTGCGTTAACACCAAGGGACACTGAATGAAATGAAACTCAATACTGAGCAAAGTTTTGCAGCTCAAAATCCCTCCAGACCAAATATAATGAGTGTTCTGCACAACCACAAAATGAAAAGTTACCTGAGTAAAAGAAAACCATTTTCACAGAGATTTCTTTCCAACCAAGAATAATTAAAGCTTTGCTATGCAGTCAAGTCAAGTTTTTAACATGATTAAAAATGTTTGTCCTCATAAAAAATGTTACAAATCATGGTCCAAAAGGACGTCCAAAAGGCAGATAATTTCATTAATTATAATTATAATCATTAATTGAAAGAATTCTCAGGCCTAATACGAATTTCCACAAGAATGCACTGCCCAAATATATGGATCCGTTTCAAGGAGGCTTTTTGTGATTTCAAAAGTTTGCGGCTCCTCATCAAAATATTGAAATTTGAAACAGTTAAAAGACGTGTTACTGTTTTTTTTAAACAGGTGCTCTAAATGAATTGAAGTTTCCATACCCAAGTGTACTTAGGCTGGAGAATCTTCAGCATACACTCAGGTTTTAATTAAGCATTCAACATGCAAACCAACAAAAAATTATTGGCGTACATAAAACTTGTTGTGAAACAAGAAGCCATATACATAATAAACATGAAAGGGAAAGCCATATACATAATTAACATGAAAGGGAAAGAATAAAATAAAGACTCCTTTATATACCACAATTTTCTCTACTAATCAGTTTCTATGACTGGTGTGCAGTATGTTTTACTAACTGCTCATATTTTTGGTGTACTTAAGCAAATGCCCTAGTGGACCTTCGCCATACAGTTGACATGAAATGCACCCTTTAAGCTTTGTTTAATCAATATGTACAAGTTTAACAAATACAGAAGAACTATCGACTAAAATAAAAGCAAATTAAGCAATATGTACACTTTGTAACATCTGATCTTAAATATTTCGGAAACTTTCAAACTGCTATTGTCAAAAATAATTTATTAGAATTTGTAATTGCGTGTTGGTTTTTTTTCTTAGTAGGAATGGATTATCGATGCAATCAAATCTTAAAGTTTTCTTTATGTTACTTTTTATAGAACAAATCTGCCCATTCTTTCTTTCTCGTGTCCTTGAAAATTTTATTTTTGTCAGTTTCTTTTCCTTTCCTGAGAAATTTGGTGTTAATTAGGAATTAAGAAACTCTGTCAATTTGTGCTGGCACCAAGTTACTCTGGATCAGGTTTCTCGATCTATTTCCTAAGTCAAGCTGTTACTAGGCACAGTTTCTTGCAGAATGATATACCAAATTTATTTCCACTTTTGGCTAAAGTTTTCCTTGACCTCTGCAGAAAACTGGGGGACCATGCCCCCCATGACACCCTGCCACCCGACCCCCCCCCATTATTTTAATTATCTTGATATTTTATACACAGATAATTAATTACCAAAATAAATTGTAAACCAAAATTGTTGTTGCTGAATTACATGAATTTGAATTTGAATTTGATTCATATATTTTAGTCTTCATAATATTAAGAAGAATTTTCATTCCATTCATATGTTTTCAATTCCTTTCCTTATTTCAGGTATTGGAATAATATGAAACTATGGTATAAACAGAAGGTATCAATGAAATTTTTTATAACTGGTTTATTCAGCAAATTTTCCAATCATCAAAATGGAAACTTCCAATATAATGTTTACATACATGAGCAAATACATATTGAATTATTACAGTGAGTCTTTGCTCTTAGAAAAACATTAAGTGTTCAACTCCATACAACAGAGAAATTTCCCAAATGTTTATTGGGCAATTGCCCCCTTGTGAGAATGCTAAAAGACTCTGGTTATTGATGCTACTACTACAACTGTATGAAAATACCCCTTTATATTCTAGATAACAAAAGATGACTTTGATAATCAGGCATTTCAGCTTCTAGGTCCCGGAAAAAGTAAGTGATAATTTTTTTATTGTCACCGAATGTAGTTAGTGTATAACCCAATTTGAGCTTGTTTTGCTCTATGCTTGTATTAATCAGGAACATCAATATCCTATGAAAATGGAAATTTGCATTAGCGGATTACTAAAACCAATGAAGTAGGGCTTTCTTCTTAGGCTTATTTCTTTTGCTTTCGTAACTATTCAAGCACAGGTTAGGCCAAATTTGTTTGAAAAATAGAAAGGAACAAAGCAACATGACAACAAGAACCCTATGTAATGAGATGAGTTTTAGAATAAATTAGATTTAATTGATACTGATATTTTGCCCTAGCATACAGGGCTTCATCAGAGAGTTAAAATTTTTTCGCCTGCTTAGCTTGTATCAAATCATTAAATTTTCACATTGATGAAGCTGAACAAAAGTGCATCAGGAAATTTGATTTGGTCAAGGGTAACACTTCCATACCATTTATTTTCTAAGCTACCACTTTTTAGTGCTACTTTGAATAGTGGTTCTATCAATGCTCTTGATTTGCTCGATAAGGTAAGAATAATGGTCACTAACGTAAGGTACAGATGTGTTAGTGGTACAGGAAAACTGAGCGGCCAGTACAATAGCCATACCCGGATTGCCTGAAGGCAAAGAAGAACATTTGCCGCTTAGGATCGAACCCTGATGTCCTGAATTTCGTACCCATGCACCAGTCAGTAAACCTATCTCTACTGAGAAAACGAATAATAAAAACTAAAGAAAGACAAAAAAGCAAAGACAGGTGGAGGGGTCGATAGTAGAAGAGACTGTGCTTGCGATTGGTGAGGAGTATAAATGTGCTCTATGAAGACCATTTGAAGCTTACAAATTTTGCGGAAAATATTAGGGTAGTAGCGGTTACCGAGGTAGCACGTAGCATTGGTTGCTACAAACGGTTGTTGCCAGTTCATTGGTAATTCTGAAAATACCCCACCAAAATGGTCTTATGGGCCAGTTCGTCCATCAAGCATTGATAAGGCAGACTATAATAGGGTAATGAAAATTACATGCCAAAGTTTTCTTTTAAGTTGGCTACCTTCCTTCAAGTTAATACTCCTCTGTTTGTAGTTAATACTCCTCTGTTTGTAGTTTATACTCCTCTGTTTGTAGTTTATACTTCTCTGTTTGTAGCTTATACTCCTCTGTTTGTAGTTTGTACTCCTCTGTTTGTAGTTTATACTCCTCTGTTTGTAGTTTGTACTCCTCTGTTTGTATTTTGTACTCCTCTGTTTGTAGTTTATACTCCTCTGTTTTTAGTTCATCTCCACAATGAGTTTTTACTGGCCATACTAGCAAGGTGTCATGCACTCATAACAGCACCAGGTTTGTATCCTATCTTCTACTTCCGTTTTTGTATTCGCTATCCAGAACCAAATTTTGTCACATTGCTTCACGGTAGAGACAACTATTGACTTTATTTGGTAATATCTTCAGATACTCTCGCTTTCTCGAATTGATTTGTTTTCTCGTGCAATTTTTTATCCCTGAAATAAATATATCGATTTATAGCAGCTTCGTTACCAGCAAAGACATCACAAAAAGCAGCCTCGAGATCAGTGCTACTAAGAAAGCCCAAAGTCAAACGGCCTAATCAACACATTAAAGTCAGATTACAGGTTTGTGCTTTGCAATTTGAATTTTCAAAATAAATCTTTGAATAATTATGTGCTCAAAAATGTTTCTTTTGAACTTTTTATCACCTTACGAAGCACTAGATAACAGGGTTGTCTAAGCTTTAAGATTTGAATGAAATAACGCGAAGGAAAGTCATCGTTGTTTATTGAAGAATGCTTTCTTTTTTGCGTGATTTAGATGACTGTTGACAGAATAACAAACTTCTTTGCTTCTGGTTATGTATACTGATGAGTTGAAAAACGGACTCTTTTTTCACAACAAGCAGTTTCATTTCCTGTGTGTTTTTAGCTTCCAGATTCCGATCCCTTTAAACGAAGAGATTGCCGCCCGTGTTAGGTTTCGTGTTAGGAGACTTGATCATACAGCGACACTGCATTAGGACTAATTTGTTAATATTAGCCGATTGTTTACAGGTGTGCCCTTTCTGGAGATCATAGCCAAATGTAGTACGATGCTTTGCTTCAAGTAGACCTTGATTTCAATTCGACCCCCTACTGGAATTTCTATAGCTGCAAGCCACTGCTCAAGAAAAACTAAGGGATGTCCTTGGTCCTTGCCACTTAATCGTTGCATGTTACGAGCCCTTCCCTTTGGCACCTTATATTAGCACCATGTAAGCGCCTCTCTGTTTAGGGGAAGGTAGCTAATGAAATTTTGTCCTCCGTCTTACAGCATCAGTTTGAGGCTGCTGATCCATTGTGTCACACTAGAGTTCCATTGCAAAAGGTTTGTCTTTCATTACAAAAGTATCAAGGAGAAACCAAAACTACTTCTCCGGCTCAGTTAGCTAGATTGGTATTGAAGTAGTATTGAAGAATTGTGGTATTAAAGGTGACACCAATACATTGAGGGGGCTATGTACTAATATTACTATTGGTCATATTCAAAGTACTAATAACATGTACTAGTATTCAAAGAATATGAGCAGGTAGAAATGATGGCGAACAGGGAAGAACTGTAAGCAAGAAGGTGTAAATAGTAAGGATGAGAAGGAAAGCAAAGCTAAAATAATAGACTTCCTGAAATGAGATTAATAAAGTTGTTACACGTGATATAGTTTCCAACCTTTAAATATTTCAGAATTGTCAATCAAAACTATTCAATATTTGGTGATCTTCAGATTTTGTTATGTAAGTTGGCGGTCTTCGTTGATCTTAAAGTGTACAAATTGGCTAATCTCTTCAGGGTGTGGGGCACTGTATTTACAAATTGTAAGTTATTTACATATTCAGATTGTCAATACTATTTCAACCGTTTGACCATTGTTGTCTTTCTTAAAGTCTCTGATATTGTTCCCCTTTTACAGCAAGAATCTATTCTTTTTTTTATTTACACGTCTATGCCTATTGAACTAATTTGCATTTTTTTCTGTCTCACGCCTCGTGTTGGATGAATTGTCCATAATATCACAAAAGGGTACGTTTTTTGCTCTGTCTTTTTACAAATTCTATGCATAATTACAATGATCAAGATTAACTGAACATATTTAGCGAACATATAATGGAGAATAACTACGATTTCGCTTTTGTATAAAATTTCAAAGAAAGATGGGTACAGGTATTTGCGTAGCCCTCGGGAATGAATCTTTTTTGAAAGACGAAGGTATTTCGCAGTTTCTTTTGGCAAAACACAGTGAGCATTTCAAAACTGTTGTGTTTCTGCTCATGATTCACATCGGTAAGGGAGATTGGTTAGTGTCATTTCTGCAGAACTTTCACTGTGAATTCCTCTATTTTTGTCAACAAGACCTATATTTGAAAATATTGCAATACGATTATGCAAAAAGAACCTTTTTATTGTTTTTCATTAAACATACAAAAACGCAAAGCTTTGTGCGATGTTAACATGCGAGGATACAGAAATGCAAAAGCCTTGTGCGACGAGCGTGGATAAAAAGTGCTTGATTCCCTATTGGTTATCCTTGATTCCATATGTAAACGGTAATAGGTCTCTTGTGAAACTTTTTCTTATAATGAGATTTATCCAGCACGGTTTCAAAGCGACCTGTTGGGTAGGAATAGTAATCCAATAGCGAACTCAATGCGTATCATGTAAATGCACCATGATTTAGATATCTAGATTCCAGGTATCGAAACGTCTGGCTTGTACTCATTTTATTGGAAGATTTAATGGTACGCAAATATCCTGTATTAGATATTTTCATCTCTTTTACTGTATAAAAAGGAAAGAAACATTTTCTTTCTTGAATTCTGTTTTTAAAAACCCCTCAAATTGTCCTTGCTAATATCTTAGAAGGAATTGATTTTCAAATATCAAATTCAGCACTTTACCACGCGACCCATTCCTGGCCTACGACTGAAAATATTATTTTCTTTAAGATCGAACTGATTTTATTTTATTTCATCAAAGCTATGGATATCATGAAAAAGATGAAATATCATATGAAAATATTCTCTTCTCGTACGTAGCTTCATGAAAGTGGCAATATTTTGTTTAGATAGTTCGAAGCTACTTTCATTAAACAACGAGCAGAGTCGTTGAAATGTTTAGCAATGCCAGACAGTTACTTGTTAAAAGAAATTGAAACTAGTGAAGGTGTATATATGATAATTGATTCTACTAATGGTTTACTTAATTTACTCATCTGGAAGAATAGGCAAATTATTTGAGTTGAAGTTATTATGTATTGAAGTATTGCTTGCAGATCCAGTTGAAGAGAATGATACAAAATTATGCAGCGTGGAAGTTGCGTTACCAGATGTCGCAACTTTACATGGGCGTTTGTATCTTGGTGCATGGGAACATGGCCTAAATTCGGTTGCTGAAGACACAGCCTCTCTGCTTTCACACGCAGTAGAAGTATGTAATAGACTAAGGGACTTATTTCCTATTTTGTGACTGTTTTTGTTTGTTAGATGACTCTGTTTTGTACCCCTCTCTTACGGATCTTCATCGTCGTCATCATAAACATATGCTTGTTCATGTCGGGACATGAGATTTAGCACAATAAAATGAAATAAAAACTGAATCATACACCACGTGATTGATAAAAACAGGATTATGATTAACTAATGGTTGCTTAAATGTGTATTTTATAAAATCAAACTGCGGAAAACAAGAAATTAACAGATTAACATAACAGGAAAACATAAAGATTCCGGCAAAAACCTCAAAATTTTAGCTCTTATTCCTTCAAGTGCAAGGAAATGTTATCCTTACAAATAAGTAATAAAATATTTTCGTATAGCTATAAAAAACGGAATACAAGAAATAAGGGTTGTTTGTCATTTCGTTACAGGCTCATTTGAAAAATATACTAACAGCGTGTATTGCAAGGCGGAGACCATACAGGCTGAGGGACGATCATTTTTTGTATTCATTCGGGACAGAATGCCCTGCACAACGACATAACTTCAAGAAAAGGTAATTATTGTTGCCACTTTCATGTTTAATTAGCAAATTTATGAAAAGTTTGAGTTTATAACGGGTTCGATTTCTTTCGACAGAATTTCAGATGATGCATGTACTGCTGACGAAGCCGAGGCAGCGGCGGTGTTGTCACTTGCGTCAAATCGAGGTCATTCCGATGCTAACCAATCTCTATCGACTTTCGACCTTCGAGATACTCTTCAGGTATTTAAAAACTAAACTAGCCTTTCCTACCATTAAATTTTAGAATAGCACAATAGTGCGTTCCCCTTGCCATTTTCGTATTTTAAACCAGAGCTGTATGTAATCGTTCGCAGCTAAGATTGTTTTGGTAAAAAGATCATATCGTTGATAGATTAGGCCCATTTGAAGTTAGGCCGACTAACTTTTAACAGCCGATTCTCGGTTTTATTTATGCTAGCATGGCAAAAACTGAGTCCTTTGATGTTTTTTATATCATTTAAAGCTTAGTCAGAAGTACTCTGTTTACCCATTAATGGTTAGGGCACCAACTTTAAAGCCCTTTAATCTTACATATATTTATCATGCCAATTCATGCTTGTATTTTGATAAGGTTCTATATATCTTTTTTAAGGCAAACCGCAGCTTGATTCCATCGCACACTGTTCGTGCAAGTAACATGGAAAGGATTCTAGCCGAACTTTGGCACCCTGGCCACGAGGAAATAGAGCAAAATCAGTTGTACAAGTTGGAAACTAAGCGATTCAATGACATTGTTAAACAGCAAAGAGGCCTTAGAGCTTAGGTATAATTTTTAATTATATTTTAATTGCGTTATTAAATTGTTAAAATTGTATAAGGTTTTCATTGGCAAAGCTGCTACTCATTTTTGCTTTGAGATTATGGTGTTGTTAACTTCGGGTGTGACTCTCAGTTTTTGATTCAATACATTTCCGAGTTTGGGAAATAAGAGAGAACAACATTGATGACCCTGCCAGCAGGGGCGTAACTACCTCTTTGCCTTGAGGAGGAGAGGTTGTCATTGTTTTTGCCCGATATTTTTGGAATTGCTCGATGAAAATCTTTGAGGAAAAATTTCGAGGTATTTGGATGGATACGTATTAGAAATGCTCCTGCCATATTTCAAGGTTTGAGATTGCCTCCATTAAATTACAAGCTGTTTTTCATTTGAAAATCTACCATTCTTGTCTGCTTTTCTCCAAAATCGTCGGAATTTTAGGGACTGAAACTGGGAGCACGTTGTCTTCTGGGTTGGCAAGCATCGGGTGAGACAAATCAAAACTTGAATAACCCCCTACAGTGACATATGATTGTAAATTAGCCCAAAAAGGTCAATAACATTTGTGATGGGTGAATTGTAAATGCAGATCAAAATTAATCAGTCACATAAAGTTAGTAAGACATTTGAAGATGAAGACGTTTTGAAAAAGAGCGCAAATACTGAAAACGATGATCGTTTAGTAACAATTCATGTCCAGCTTTCTATTTATGAGTCTATTTTCATAATTCTGTGAAAATGTATTTTAGTACTTCTCCACGTCCAAATTGAAAACAACCCTTAGCATGTAGCCCACCATGGATCAGCTCGCCTTTTTGTGTGCACTACTCAACGGTAAACTCCCTTATTCGGTCTTTTAGTGAGACTCTTAATAGACCCGGATTACGGTAACATAAATAATGTAATGTAATAGGATTTTCATCATTAACTCGTAGAAGTAATAATTTATTACCATTTCGATCGCAAAGTGATTTAAAAGAGTTTAAGACAGGTTTCAAAAAGGGCATAGACAGGGGATATTTGCGGATACCTGTGCACTGCCATGGAGCCTTCGTAGAATGGAAAGTAAAAATTGCTGTATAGATCGTCTAATATCAATTGACCTTTAAGCAGGTCCCGTGAGAGAGACGCGAATCTGGTAGAATTCCTGTTTGTGTTAAAGACCGGATGCCGGCTTTTTCACCGTTTCGAATTAAACTTAGGTCACCGCTCTGCATGGACCAATGTTATATCGCTTGTAATTCATTGAGATGAACCATCTGGTTTCTGAATTTTTTGCAAAAAGTGCATCGCAACGAGGTAAAAGGAGTAATTTTTAACACGGAGCTCCGTTATTAATTAGAGCATTCTAATCAAGTATTTTCAATCCTCCATCAAAGCTGTTTCCAATTTTAAAGGCGGCATGAACTAGAACAGGATTCATTATATCTATGAATCCTTTATTCACAGAACAAGCAATGAACCATAAGCGCTTTTTCTATACACTTATGACAATTATAATCAATCCTCCGTCTCCAAGGTAAAATTGAGTAAAGAATTGTTGTTTAAGGGGGCTAAGTCCTCTTACTCCCTAGGTTCGACCTGTACACCACTGTTCCGTCTGCAATCGCAGTACATTATAAACGATATATGGCTTTGAAAAAAGCAAATATTTTACAACATACTAAAGCTTTTTCGTCTGACACTCCTCAGAGTATAAAACGTCAGGCTAAAGGTCGGAAAGAATACGATGGAAAATATAGACCGTTTTCACGTGACGTAACGAAAGAATTCAAACCGAGGCTTCCGCCGTGTTGGTGTTCCACTTTTGTTTACGTACCGTGGCAAGACCCCATATGTTCAATAGCGAAAGAAAACTAAACACATTTATCGAAACTAAACTAAAGAGAAGTTTACTTTATCGTTGTCCAACTATGCCAAGAAGCTGGAAAACCATGTTTTGAAGCGTTACGCGGAAAAGATCGCGTTTATCGGCGTCGATCCGATGTTGATCCCAGATAGCAGTTTCGATCCAGAATGTTTACCGCCTGTAGAAGCCACGGACTTGTTGTCATATCTCGTACTTGATACAAGCTATTACACGAGGACCCAATTCAAGGCTGTCATAAGTTTGCAGGCATATAATCATATGGTATCTGGCTTTATCACCTCGGTACAATGTAAGGTAGTTAATGGTAAAAGATTTGTTGTCATGGGGAAAGTACGGCATTCTCAAAGGATGAATGTCAGCCCAGTGCCAGTCTGGGTCATTACAGAAAATGATGGGACTATTCTTTCTGCACATTGCATTGGCTGCATGGCTGGTCTTGGAGAATGCTGTTTTCATATTGCAAGCATGCTCTTCTATCTTGAAGTTTGGACAAGACTCAATGGAAAAGTAGCCTGTACCCAAGTGAAATGTACCAGGATTCTCCCTTCTTATGTCAAGGAAATATCCCATTCTCCTGTGAAAGATATTAACTTCAAATCTGCAAAGAAACTAAAGAAGAACTTAGACCAAGCAGTTGACAATTTAAGCAAGATCCAAAGGGAAGCATGAAGAGGAAGCTTATTTGTGATGGCCCAACAAGCAAAAAAGACACCCCTGTTTCAAGTAAGGATGATATCAAGTCACTGTATGAAGCATTGAGTAAATGTAAAGAAAAGCCTGCAGCACTGAGTCTTGTACACCCATATGCCAATTCATTTATATCGAATAGCAGTGGCATTGCAACAATTGCTGAACTTTTTGATGAGAAGTACCTTTCCTACCATGATCTCATACAAGCCTGCTCAGACATCCATGTTACGACCTCAAGAGAAGATGCAAAGCAAATTGAGTTAGATGCAAGAAGCCAGGCCAAGGGCAGTGGATTTTTCCATCACCGAGCAGGAAGAATTGGTGCATCCATGAGTGAGTCAGCAAGTCACACAGATCTCAGCCAGCCATCTCAATCACTGATAAAGTCACTTTGCTATCCAGAAATTTTCTAGTTCACAAATGCTTCCACTGAATATGGATGTCAACATGAGAAGTCAGCAATTAAGCTATTTGAGATTGACATGAAGATGAAGCATGCGAATTACAAAGCAATTCAATGTTGCATGTTTATCAACAAACACAGCCCTTTCATTCACGCAACACCTGATTTTTTATCGACATGTGATTGCTGTGGAATTTGATGCGGGAAGTGAAATGTCCATATTGTATTGAAAGTATCGATTTTGATGGATACTTGGAAAATCCAAGCAGCTGTTTAGTTAAAGATCTAGGTGGTAAAGTGATCCTGAAAAGAAGCCATCAATACTTTTACCAAGAGCAACAGCAGATGTTCACCATGGAGCTTCCATTTTGTGATTCCATTGTCTTCGGCTTTGAAGCATCACAATCTGCTTTCATTCATGAAAAAATAACACCTGAACAAGATCACTGGGACAGAGTTTTACCAAGACTGTCTCAGTTTTGGCAATATTGTGAACTCCCAGAAATTCTTGGTAGGTGGTACACACGCAAGTGCTACTTGTTGAAACCACAACTGATTAGTGGAACAAAGATATGTTTTTGTGGTGAAGAAGCTGGGGAGGCTACAGTAAAATGTCAGAATATGGACTGTCTAATTTCATTATATCATCCTTTGTGTCTTAAAGTTAAAGTGACACAGTTTTCCAATAACTGGTATTGTCCGCACTCTCAAAGATTATGCATCGAAATAGACCAATCAGAAAAACCCAAGCACATGACCGTCGAGTCATTATACATTTTTTCATCCCTTAACCTTAAAATAATTTCAAAAGAATTTTTGTTTTTGATAACTCGATTGAGTTTGGCTAGATAAATCTCATGTCAAAAATCTACATTTTTAAACAGCGAAAACCCCCAATTTTCACCCCCAAATCTCTTGCTTACTGGGGGAATGTCCTTTCAATGAAAGAGGATTCCCGTTGCCTTTGTGTCTTTGTCGTTTGTCAATGTGCATCGATGTTTATATACTTTTTCTTCATTGACGAAGCGTGATTTTTTTGTAAAAATTTAAATGGCAAAATTTTCAATAAAGAACTTGTGAATATTTGACAAATCTACTATTTTCAACCTTTGTATAGATCGGAAGAAAGTTAAATATATGCCTCTGAATCTGAATGTAAAGAAAAGCTTAAATCGAACAATTGATATTCGTTCTTAGAACTGTAAGTACAGCACAATTTGGTACTCTCTCGAAAATAAGCCGCAGAAAAGATATTTTAATCAACACGATATGTAGAAGATGTTCCATAAACCCTATTATTTGGCGTTTTAGAAAAAGCCCTGCGTCATGGCCTCAGCTACGTCCCTCTAAAAAGTAACCCCTTTGGATAAGCTTGTTTTGTGTAGCCGTCTTGGCTTACTTGTTGAGGTCAGCCTATTGGCAAGGCCTATGAATTTCTGATTCATCTTTGGAAAAAATTGATACCGATTTAAAAGCTTTGAGGGGGAAAACATAAAGAAAAACAGTAAGCTCCAAATAGTTCTAACCCCCAAGGGAACAATGAGATGGTTTGAGACAGCAAATGTTGCCGTTATGCTTGAGTCATGAAGAGTTTTCTTAATTGAATTGATAAAGGAGTCTTGCACTACATGGGTTTTTGCGTCATCTACAAAACATACAGGGGATATGCTAAAAATGCATGTGTATTGGGTGCAAAAGCATATGTACTGCTTTTTTGTAGGCAGCCTGCCATATATGGTAAAGAGGGGCTCGAATATGAATACTACCCTGTCAAAACAGAAGATTTTCAAGAAAAAATCGCTGAAATGTGTATGAGCCGCGATGATGTTTGTGCTGCGAGAGTCAAATAAGTATATGGTGTACTCTAAAGACCTTCACGCCTCTGTTGCATTATACCACCAACAATGCAACGTCAACTTTAGAACTGATAAAGATATTCCTAAAGTTTTCCAGACCACGGTAGAATCCCTTTCAAGAAAATCATGCGGTAGACCATACTTTCCTAAAAGTAGCGTTTTACCTGAAGGAAAACGACGATGGACAGAAACAATAAACGACTTGGTAGCACAGATGAGGGAATACTGTGGCGATGAGTGCTACAACCCCGTTCATTTGCAACAAGAAATCCTTGAACACTATGACAAAAAAGTTCTTATC